GATGGGCATGGGGAGCTGTTCAAGAGTTTTTAAAATCATCTTGTGAAGCTAACAACTAAATCTCATGTCTACAGTATTATAATCCCAAAGCACTGCAACACTACGACAAAGAACATTCCCATTTCACGTGTGAAGGAAGTGAAGCAGAGAAGGGAAGGGACCTGTCCAAATAAGACTCGAGACCAGTGGCAGGACTGCAGCTAGAACCCAGAAGCTTTCACTACTAGTCCACTCGACCATTCTCGATCATCTTTTATGTGTGAATCATAATACTATTTTCTGTTGACTGTAAGGAAATGAATCATCTGCAAATAAATGAACATGCTGGAGTCTCTCTGCTTTTGAAGAGACAGAAGGATCACAAATGAATCCCAGGATTGGTGCATCCCACCAGCTCTGGGAAAATCAAAATCCAGGATCTGCAGAGACTTCAGAGGTAAAGCATCATTTTCAAAAGTGATTGAGACCCCCAAGGGAACCTTAGTCCTACTGACTTTAAGTAAGACTAAGGCTTAGATATTTTTTACCCTCTGTCTAAAGCAAATTAAATTCAAACCTGGGACCCAGCAAGCCCCAAACTTTGGGGAAATTTGATTGAGATCTAAATTTTGTGGCTCAGGTATATTTTTAAAGTATTTTCGAACCTTGCACAGACATAAAGGATCTGAAGTGAAAGAGAAACTGCTGCATCTAGCTCTCATTTTATGCTTTTTTTAAAACAATTTCACATGCTATTTTTTAAGTTATGATTTTTCCCTTGTTTCCACCCTTCCCAAACCCAATAAAGCAAATCAGCCCTCCATGAGTTCAGCTACTACCCTGGCCTGTAAACAGGTTAAACAAACAGGGAGATTCCTCAAGAGAAGTCACAGGTTCAAGATCACAAAGAATGAGCAAGTATGGGCTGGCTGGAGGTTATTCTTGCTAATGGGCAGGCTGGAGGTTATTCTTGCTATTGTGCTTATCTGTATCTTCACTGTCATCCAGACGTTAACCTCTGACCTACAAGCCTGCCTCTCTAACCAGCCTTGCAGTGTTTATCCATTATGTAATGTCTGTGCTTTTGTGGAAATTTTACAGAAACAAATGGAGGAAGTTTGCCAGCCGAAGTAGTGGACAATAAATCCTGTTCTATGTAGATAGTGTGGTTTACTCTCCCCGTAAGCCTGCTACTTGCATTTGTCACTGAAGCAATATTTTCAGATTCGAGCAGGATAAAGTGCCAAAATATTCCAGTATTGAACAACAATGCAAGTTTTATAGACTATTCATTATTTTTATTAAATATGAGAATATGAAATATTCAGATTGTCTTTGCTAACTTGAATAACCCTAATAATTGTCTGTTTCAGAGACTGGCAAGGCCAAACACTCCTGTATTCGGTCCTAGAATGCTTTTTGGTCTCTTTACCCAGGGCAGTTTTAGAATTATATGTATCCTACAATTAGTCTGTCATTTATGTTTTTGCTTTAAGCATCTGTCCTAAAACGTCTTTGCTAGAGACTTAATGCAAACAAACAAAATGGCTGTGTGTGGTGGCGAGACGCCCCCGCAGGCTCTCGAAGTGGAGGGGGCAGTTGCCACAGGCCACAAGCCACACAAGCAGCACTCCCGCCAGGGAAACTTATTTCCAGGGGATCAGCCGGAGCCAGAGGAGGAGCTGTGGCCATGCGAGCTGACGTTATGCCGTCTGTTTAATCAGCTGTTCCCCAGGTGGGGAACAGCGGAGCCAATTGCAGCAGCTGCAGCAGCCGCTGCGGGAAGATTTAACAACCCCACTGGAACCCAGCCGGAGGGTAGAGAGGGAGCACGCCAGCGTGGAGCACACCCAGTGTGGTGAGGCTCCTGTGGTGGGCAGGAGTGCTGCAGCCGGCTCAGTGCTGGCATCCAGAGCCAGGGGAAGCTGAGCCCCTGTAGAAGGCTGGGAGGGAGGAGGCAGTTCCACCACCTCTCAACCTCCCGCCTTTCCAGCGGTCTACTTGATAAAGAGATTTGGAAGACGTCTCGCCCAGAGGCAGCAAGGAGGATGCCAGCTGACGGAAGCCTAGCCTGTCAGCATCCAAGGCAGAGATGTTAGCTGTCATGACAACCAGGCTAGCTCACCAGAACCCACGCTTACACCAGTCCCCATCATGAAAGGGGTCGACGGGGCATGGCCAATCTACATAGGTGGCACCTATTAGATTGGTGAGTGGACAGGGTGTAGGGAGGCAGAGCCCCACGGAACATCGCGTCAAGACCGTGAGTACTACTGTCCCCGGGGCCCCCCAGGAAGAAGATCTCCACTGAACCCCTCCCTTTCATTCAGTAACACCAAGTCGTGGCAGATGAGTTGAGGGGAGGGGCCCTGTAGGCGAGTTGAGGGGGGGGGGGAGGCCCACATCAGATTGATAGTTCGGCTCCCGATGTAAATCCCACCTTTGGCACAGCCACACTATGTCACACTGTACTTGCACCTAACAGGGATTTTCTGTTAATTTTGGCTACCTAGTTACCTATTGATCTATGTGACCCCTCTCCAGATGCAGGCTCTTAGCAATTTGGGATTAGGACTCTTGGTACTTACCTGTACAGTGCCTAACACAATGGGGTCTTGCTCCTTGATTGGGCTTCCTAGATATCAACATCAGTTACATTTGGACAAAAAAAACACTATTTGGAATCACATGTAGAAGCACATATATATTGGATGGAAATTGGGACAGATGATAAAGGAACATTATCCTCCCCTTTCAACATATTCATCCTCATAGTTGACTGTCCTAACCAGTGATTTGATTCAATTCCCTCTGAATGGCATTCTCCTCTTGATTTCAGTGCAAGCAGCATCAGGCCTTAAGGTCTTGTTATAATTAAGTTTTCAAATCTCATTTCCTTTCAGAGGAGAGAAAACATATTGTTGTGACTAAGCTTTGGATGTGGTAATGAATCCCTGGCAGGTTGGTTTGTTTTAACGGATGCATTACTTTTAAGGAAACTTTTACTGTCTTTCTGCCCTTAATCATAGCTTTTATTACAATTACAGCAATGCAACAGATGTATGTGCCAAAGGTAATACGTGTATTTTTAATGACTTGACAAACAAACTTCCTCGAGAGGAGAAACACATCCATTTGCTGAATGTTTCTGAACCATATCTAATAGCTTATTAAAGGACAAGAAGTCAATCAGAACAGTATTTACTACCACCGTTTCATATGCTATGCTAACTCACAAATGAGTGGCTATACAAAACAGGAATTTGACCAGGCTGATTGCTGAACTAGATAACAACAAATCTGTGTTAAATCCAGGCACATATTGTGGTGTTTTTTCTACTTCTTAAACAGTTTGTAAATATATAAAAAGGTCTATGGGCTTCTTTCTGCAAACTCTTTCTTCCACAAATAGCATTAACTTATACATGTATTTTCTTTGAAGTCAATGAGCCATATCATCCCATCAGTTTCCAAAGAGAATTTCTCAAGAAATCAATGGGGAATGCTGAGCAACACTGAATGACACTATTTAGCTCCACAGAACTGGCTGCAAGATACAGAGGGTGAGACCCTAAGTTACTGTAACATCAGTGTGACCACACCAGATGAAAATTCGGCCCTAAAGCCAAAAACACTTGTTTTCTGGGCTGCTTATACTGCTGTGGCAGAAAGTTTTAGAAAAAAATATGGCAAATAACGCATTATTTTAGTTTACACTATGCTATTATACAGCTGTTCACTCGCTGCAACTGAAGCCAGGGTACTGAAAGGAAGAATGTGAGAGACTACTGTGCCAGGTGATCGTGTACATTTACTTCCCCAGTAAGGCAATCTTAAGTGGATATAGATTTCTATAACATATAATATATCGCTTACCCTACAGAGGAATTTTTTAAGTTAGTAACTAGAAGCCTAATTCTGAGAGGTGCAGAGTATTCCCATTGGTCTAAAATGTAATTTATATATAACAGTCATTCCAGTTTGCTTTGGAGTGACCGCTACCATAATTTGTTCTTTACCAAGGCAATCATTTGCTTTTTACTGTGACACTGTCCAATTCAGATGATAATACCTGTCCCCTTCACAGGTATTATCTTCACCTTCACAGAGTCTCAGTAGTGCCAATAGGAGTTGTTACAAATATATAGATTTGCCCTGGCAGAATTGTTTGCAGGGGGACATCTGAGTGTGTTTTTATTCTTCTTATTTATTGTAGCATCTAAACGATTTGCTTTGATTTTCATTTTGGTACCTCAGTAGAAATGGCTGAATGATTTCTTATCCAAAAGCTGCTTTATCCCTAAAATAAAAGACACTCATATATGCTGTATAATATACCCCAGCATTTGAAGAATATCATTTTTCTGCTTTGCTCTGGAGAACAGAATTCCATATACGCATAAAGATACTCATGCACACTTGCAAGAGGAGGGCCCTTTTCTAGGTTTAATAACACTCTCATATGAATGTTAAATTAAATACAGCCAGAAAGAAAATTAAGTATAAACAAGGGTGAAATTAATTAGTCCATTTGCACTATTAAATCTGAATAAAATGCATTTGTTTGAACCAGGTCATGTGTTGTTAATAGTAAAGGTAATGGTTTTCTTTTCTGATGTGTTTTGCAGAAATATACATTTCCAAACTTTCTTCTTTTAAAAAACATTTGTTTTGGAGACATACAACCAAGTTCAGAATTCCCTGATTCTGAGTGTCCCTAAAATTCCAAGTATCGTGGATCATTTCATGGACCTATTCAAAGTACTGGTTTATGACCTATTTCAAATTCCCCTGCATCCTTTGTAAAAATTTTAACTTGAGATGAGAAAAAGACTTTGGGACACAGACAAATCCAGCCTGCCTTTAAAAAAATTCTTGGATATTTGTTCATGTTTTAGGATGAAGCTCGTTTTTAATGAATCACACCCTTTGCAATGTCTAATTCGCCCATTTAGCAAAGCAGTGTGATGGAAAATAGAGATAGTTAAAAAGAAGAAAGCAAGTGAAAAAAATTTGCTCACCAATGCAGTCCACGCTGAAGAGATTTATGGAGGTAGCTACTGAAGCTTCATCAGGACATTTAAGCCCTCGCAGTGCAAACCGCACTATGGAAGTTTTGGCTCTTTCTGGCAGAAACGATAGCAGGTAGACTGGCATGTACAGAATGTACCGCAGCTTGCACAGCAGAGGTGTCATGAACTTGCCTTTGGGGGACTGAGCCATGCGCTCTATTGTCGGAAACAGCAGTACAGCGCGAAGAACCTGTTGGGCCACAAGAAGAAGAAGGTCAGGGAAGTCCTCCAGCACAATATCAAATTTAGGAAAAGACAAAATTTTCAAGGGTCTCTTTCTAAATTGAAGTTGGATATACTAGTAACTCAATGCACTGTTATGTTGTAGGAGATGCTCAATGGCCTGATTCTGAAAGATGAGAACAGACTTCTAGTCAGACTGATTTCAGTGGGAATTAGAGATATTCATCAATGTACCAGGCTGGGCGCCAGGTGCAATTTAGAAAGAAGTGAGTGATGCTGCAATCATTTGTTACATAAAGATGGTGATACCACAAGAGGGCACTGCACAGAAATTGTCATTTTTGTTTCAGTGCAAAGTGTTTTTATTTTAATGATCCGATTAGGCCACCTGTTTCATACAGGAGAAAATTAATTTAAAATCATAATCACCGCATAATCTCTTTTTCAGTCTGATAGTTTGACCATATTAAGGTAGATCTTTACATGGTAGAGCTATAAACATAACTAATATATTTATTGTGAGGAGAGGTAGTTACCTGAATTAGTTTGAAGTCTGGCAGAAGGCAAGGCAGGGTAGCACCTTAAAGACTAACTTGTTGAGAAAGGCATAAGCTTTTGTAGGCTACAGCCTACTTCTTCATTACTGAGTTGAGTATAATGTTCCATAGTACAGGCTATAATTTTGTACTATGTGCATTTTGAAGCTTCACAGCGATTTGAACTCATAAAGGATAGAATATGCTCTGATCATAGACTTAACCTCCCCCCCAAAAAACAAACAAACAAACAAACAAACCTAATCCTTAGCTGGAAACATTTAATTACAAAAAAAATCTATTTTTTAATTCCAGCCCATTGGTGAAAGTGTATCAACAGTTTCAGAGAATTCCTGCCATTTTTTTCAGAAACGTGGAATACTGTATGCATTCATATAGGAAACACCTGAAAAGCTATACAACTACCATGCTTAACAGAAGTATCAAGATGACACAATAAGCAAAGGATATGGATGTTATAATGAGACCACTGGGGGCCTTGCTATATGTCATACAATACTCAGAGTAAATGTAGATGAGGAAAGCCATTACTTCTGCCCAGTTACAAGACCACCCAGATGCCTTTCAACTGTTCCATTTATCGTAGGAGTTAGTAAAAAAATCTAGTATTTAACATGAAAGAGTTTCTAGTAGGCTTTGATCTGCAAAAGGTAGATCCCACTGCCTGAGTGTAGCCCCACTGAATTCAGGGAATGGAAACCCAGCCCAGGCCATGAAGAGCACTTTGCAAGATCAGGGCATTTTAATTAAGACATAAAAGGAATGTGGAGAACGCCAACACCGCGCCATAATACATTTTCTATAGCAATTTCAAGATAGGACTTTAAAAGGGTTATTCATGTTGAAGGCAGGAACCGTTTTAGATTCCCTAAACTTTCCAGCTCACACTACCTTATTTGCAAATTAAAAAAAAGAAACAAACCAAAACCAAACCAAATAAAAAAAACAATAAAAAAACCTCTCAGGGAAATAAATCATAGGTCTCTTTTATTCAAGACAACCAACAGCTGAGGTATAAGAATGCAAGGCTTGGATTAAATTACAAGGTAGTTTTGTGATATTTCAACTAGGAGCTGAGCTCAAGCTCTTGTGATCTAAAGCAGATTTGACCCATGGTCCCAGGGACACATTAATCCTTTGACATTACAGTTTATGGATACATAATTAGCTGTTTCAACCACTGCACCAACCACTGGGAGAAGCTGCTAAAGCTTAGACACAAGTGAAGGAAAAAACCTAGGAAGTAATTATCATGACTCTCAATCCCTTGAATATGCCAATCCTGACACTATTTCTTAGAAATAATCTTATTATTGTAAATCTATATGGTAGAGATAAGAAGGAACTAAAGGTTTCTCCTTTTTTGCACACAATACAAGGACACCTTCAAAGTATATACATTTCAACCACTTAAAAAAGGTCCTTACTTTCTGCTAGCATCCACAGCTTGGGTTTTAAAGCATGCATTTGCCAGAACTGTTCAAAGATTAAATTCAGATTTAATGTACCTGCAATACCACCACTGTTAAAACAGGCAAAAAATATAAACACTCACATAACGTGTAATATTGTATCTCCACAAAATGTTCATAAAAGTAGCATCCCACTTATGCAAAAAATGTATTGGAATATACATTCATCTTTTAATTCTATACTTCCAAGCTGTAAATATTTAATACAATCTATTAATACTTGCCTGTATCAGGCCAACAACATATCTCATAATATATACAGAATCATCCCTTTACATTATCATTTGTTGATACCAAATATATTCATATTCCATGCTATTAAAATAATGGCTTAAGCTTGCAGAACTACTGGTAACTCATTAATGTCAGCCAGGGAGTTTGAAGATGCAAAGTGTTACATTAGTACCACAAAGTAAGGAAATCATTCTTATGTTTTATTTGGTAAATAGATTTCTTATGGTACCAATCAGCAAAAAGACTGAAAATAGGCACAATCTACCAAAACAATCATAGTAAATACAGGGGTTAGAGCAGGGACAAACATTCAGGATGCTTTATTGTATTTTAGACTGTACCAGTGTCTCTCTTTCTTTGGTCCAATTATGTGTTTCTCTGCCTTTGTGTACACACCTTTAAAATGGTGTAGATGATGATGCTTGTACTTGCATTTCAGGTTAGTTATTTTATATGTCAAACATTTTCTCACTGGTTTGTTTGTCAACCAACTTGTTGTATGTGTTCACCAACAATTACTGACTTCAACAGCTAATGCTTGAAGACTTGGCTGACTCAAAGGGCCGGTAACAGAATGCAGATCCTTTCACCTCTTGGTGCCCAAAATAAACCTGCTTAATACGTGCACATTTTTTGCTTTCTGTCAACTCTTGCTGAGTAAATATAAAATGATCCCAGTCCAGCTCTTAGTTGAGTGGTGTGTGCGACTGCTCAGTAGCCAGATACTACTGTGCAGTAGCATCACGTGGCAAAAACTGTGCTGAGATGCAACTGCACAGTAGTATTAGGCTACTGCACAGTAGCATCACTTAAAAGGCGTTCATAGTTTCATAGTTTCAGGGTCGGAAGGGACCTAATAGATCTTCTAGCCCGCCCCCCCGCCAGGGCGGGAGAACAACCCAAAAAAAAAAAAAACAAAAAACACTCCCCCTAAAAACAAAAACGGGACTCAAATGAGTCCAGCCAGGTAAGTATCCAGCCTCTTCTTAAAGATCCCCAGGGTAGGGGCCAGCACCACCTCCCTTGGAAGTTGGTTCCAGCTCCTAGCCGCCCTAACTGTGAAGTAGTTTTTTCGGATGTCCAATCTGTACCTCCTCTCCATCAACTTGTGCCCATTATTCCTTGTTATGCCAGCAGGGGCTAGGGGAAACAGCGTCTCCCCCAAACCCTTCTGGTTCCCCCTAGTGAGTTTATAGACGGTCACCAAGTCCCCCCTCAGCCTTCTCTTGTGGAGGCTGAATAGGTTCAAGTCCCGCAGTCTCTCACTGTAGGGTCTGCCCTGTTGTCCCCGGATCATGCGGGTGGCCCTCCTCTGGACCACCAACTACTGCATAGTTCGCCGGTGCTACTATGCAGTAACTCCACTGACTGCACATTTTATTTATTACTTGATTATACAAGTAATAAATAAATGTGCAGTAACCACTGCGCAGTAGCAGCTCGTGTAGACACCCCCCCTAATTGCAACAATTACCATTCTCAAAGGCATCAGGAGCCAAGTCCAAGGCACAGACTCTGTTTGCATTTCAGCCTGTGTTCCTCCAAAAGAAAAGGACATCAAAAGGGTAGTGTAGGAAGGCTTCCACAGTTGCCCCCACTGCTTGTGGAATCTGATGTCCAACGCTAGCAATCCATTACCTTTCAAAGACCTACAATCATTGCTCTCAGACATGTGGAACATTTTTGGAAGACAGTAAAGAGAGAATACATATTTAAAGACAATAGTGAATCATCAGGGCAGAGAACATTAAAATTTCCTGACAACCAGCAAAATTAATTTCAGATTTTTGGTTAAGCAGGACAAATTCACTAATTCACATGCTATGATTTGCTTCATGTGATCATTCAGTCTCAATTGCTTTTCTTATTTTTGTCTGCTGGCCTACATTACTTCAAAGAAATTCTGCTTGCCACCTAGGTATATGCAGAACGCGACTCCCTATTCATATATTTTGGTTCTCTATCAAGATTCCCAATCTATCTGGAACAGGGAGCAGCACAACCAGCTTTCAAGATTAGTAGGGATGAGGCCAATTTCAAAACCAAGCAGAGCTAGCTGGAATCTTCTTGTCAAAGCTGAAAAGTTTTACAGAGATATTCCAGTTCAAGCACAGTTTTCATCAAGGTTTTTGGATTGAGAGATAGAGATAAACAGATACAGAACAGGCTGACTCTTGCTCTGTCTTCACTGTTAAAATAACTACAGTTTTTGGCTGTGTGTTTCTGTGACCTATCCAAAGGTAAAAACAGCAAGAATAAGGAATTTTAGTTTAATCTCATGATAAAGCAGGTGAGACCAAATGCAAGGGAAAATAAGGTGCTTATTTTGCCATACTGACACTGATGTAAAATGAAATGTGCTGTCTTCACTGTATTTTTACCTCAGGATAGCTGCACATTTAAGTTAACCATCTGTTTTTAGCAGTAATACAAGGCCTCACTGACCTGCTCTGGTGGTTAGGACACTGGACTATGATACTCAGGCCCCTGGCACACATTCATTTAATGGCACAATGTGATATGATCCCCAGTGCCTACAATTGTGCCTCTTGCCCTGCCAATCTTGCATGGCACAATGCATGATTCTGGGATTGGGGATCAGACTCCAATGGTGCCATTACTACTTGCCAGTGCAGGGGGAGCCAGTTGGAGACTCTGGTGTGTTCCTGTGGTTGGGATCCATAATCCTCTGATCCCAGGGTCCCAGCCCTGGGATCACACTGGGACTGGTTGCAGAGCCTCAT